AGAAGTGGCTTATTTGCTGCCCTCCTTCAGACCAGGCCATGCTCCAAGAGTCTCCGCCTCACCGTGCGTGCAGATGCACTCACACCTGCCTGCTGCCATTCCTGAGCAAGCTCTGCACCGCTGGCAGCCCGATCCCACAGCTGGAACACTTCAGAGACGATCCTGGCGCTCGCTGGTCTTTCTTGGCACCCTGGAGCCTTTTTGACAGCAATGGAACCTCTCTGCTTGAAGTTCTTGATGATGCCATAGATTGCTGACTGAGGTGCAATCTTTCTAGCTGCCATTCTCTTTCCTGTCCGGCCATTTTTGTGCAGTGCAATGATGACTGCAGGTGTTTCTTTAGAGATAACCATGGTTCACAGCAGAGAACCAATGATGCCAAGCAGCAGCCCCTTTTTAAAGTGTCCAGTGGCATCATTCTGACTGAATCCTGACAGATTGATCTGCAGCCCTGTCCTCATCACCACCCACACCTGTGCTAATGGAGCAATCACTTAAACCATGTTAGCTGCTCCTTTAAGGCAGCGCTGCAATGAGCTGAAATGTGTTTTGGGGATAAAGTTCATTTTCTAGGCAAATATTGACTTTGCAATTAATTGCTGTTAGGCTGATCACTCTTTATAACATTCTGGAGTAAATGCAGATTACTGTTATAAAAACTGAAGCAGCAGACTTTGTGAATATTAACTTTGATCCATTCTCAAAACTTTTGGCCATGACTGTAGTCTTAATGACGACTGCTGGTGTCTCACCGATAGCTTCTCATCTACTTGCACGCTAAGCAAAACACAAGCAGATTCTCATTGATTGAGTTCATCCAAGTCTTCCAATAGGGGGGTTCAGTCATTATTATTTCTCAGTGGACGGATGATCAACGCCAGATGAAGTCTGATCCTGTTGCCCATGAGGCCAAAGTCAATCCTGAAAATCTTCAGGGAGAGTCAATAAATGGTCGACAGAGTAAAGCTTAAAGAGGGCTATGAGCATTTTTTCAGGACATACCGGGACGGCTGCCATCAGAGTGGGCTGCAGGACACTGGTGTCTCCTCTGCTTCCTTTCTTGATCTTCGTCGACTGTGAGAGAAAAAAAAATCCGCAAAAATAACAAGAATGGATCTGATCAGAGACTCTGTCTCAGCCAATTAAAGTAATGGTGAGTATCTATGAAATTATTAATGTACATGAAGTACTTTCTCCCAGGGAGATTACTTTTTGAGCTATTATGATAAATAAATTTATCTACATGATTAAACCCGACTGTTAACAAAGATATGAGTAAATAGAAAACAAACGAAATGCTTGGAGATGTGGAGCATTGAATTATTTCTGGATGTTTATCAATACTTGTTATAGACCAGGACTTATTCCTTCATCACTTCGTTCTTCTTCCTCAGCATGTTTTTTTGTGTGCAGGATGTTATTATTGCTTATTAGAAAATGCATAAAAATGCTCCATAAGTTTCCCTTTCCTGGAGGAATAAACTACAAAAAAAATGTTTGTATATGGAAAAATGTTAAATATTAAAATGACCAAAGTTCATATCAATCAAAAACTAAAATTGAACAATTAAACAATGATGAACAGAGCACTTCGCTCTCAATCTGCAGGTTTACTAGTGGTTCCTAGAACTTCTAAAAGTAGAATGGGAGGCAGATCTTTTAGTTATCAGGCTCCTCTCCTGTGGAACCAACTACCAGTTTTAGTCCGTGAGGCAGAAACCCTGTCTACTTTTAAGGCTAGGCT